GGAGAATCAGAATTTATGGAGGTTTGGGACCACAAGACCCGAAACGTCTCTAAACGTCCACAAGACCCGAAACGTCTCTAAACGTCCACAAGACCCGAAACGTCTCTAAACGTCCACAAGACCCGAAACGTCTCTAAACGTCCACAAGACCCGAAACGTCTCTAACGTCCACAAGACCCGAAACGTCTCTAAACGTCCACAAGACCCGAAACGTCTCTAAACGTCCACAAGACCCGAAACGTCTCTAAACGTCCACAAGACCCGAAACGTCTCTAAACGACCACAAGACCCGAAACGTCTCTAAACGTCCACAAGACCCGAAACGTCTCTAAACGTCCACAAGACCCGAAACGTCTCTAAACGTCCACAAGACCCGAAACGTCTCTAAACGTCCACAAGACCCGAAACGTCTCTAAACGTCCACAAGACCCGAAACGTCTCTAAACGTCCACAAGACCCGAAACGTCTCTAAACGTCCACAAGACCCGAAACGTCTCTAAACGTCCACAAGACCCGAAACGTCTCTAAACGACCACAAGACCCGAAACGTCTCTAAACGTCCACAAGACCCGAAACGTCTCTAAACGTCCACAAGACCCGAAACGTCTCTAAACGTCCACAAGACCCGAAACGTCTCTAAACGTCCACAAGACCCGAAACGTCTCTAAACGTCCACAAGACCCGAAACGTCTCTAAACGTCCACAAGACCCGAAACGTCTCTAAACAACCACAAGACCCGAAACGTCTCTAAACGTCCACAAGACACTAAAACCATTTCAAAAGATCAGCTGCTGTGCTTCCACTGTGTGGAAGCTGGGGGAGAAGCTGGGGGAGAAGCTGAGGGAGAAGCTGGGGGAGAAGCTGGGGGAGAAGCTGAGGGAGAAGCTGAGGGAGAAGCTGGGGAGAAGCTGGGGGAGAAGCTGGGGGAGAAGCTGGGGGAAGCTGAGGGAGAAGCTGAGGGAGAAGCTGAGGGAGAAGCTGAGGGAGAAGCTGAGGGAGAAGCTGGGGGAGAAGCTGGGGGAGAAGCTGGGGAGAAGCTGGGGGAGAAGCTGGGGAGAAGCTGAGGGAGAAGCTGGGGGAGAAGCTGGGGGAGAAGCTGAGGGAGAAGCTGGGGGAGAAGCTGGGGGAGAAGCTGAGGGAGAAGCTGGGGGAGAAGCTGAGGGAGAAGCTGGGGGAGAAGCTGGGGGAGAAGCTGAGGGAGAAGCTGGGGGAGAAGCTGGGGGAGAAGCTGGGGGAGAAGCTGGGGGAGAAGCTGAGGGAGAAGCTGGGGAGAAGCTGGGGGAGAAGCTGAGGGAGAAGCTGAGGGAGAAGCTGAGGGGAGAAGCTGAGGGAGAAGCTGGGGGAGAAGCTGGGGGAGAAGCTGGGGGAGAAGCTGAGGGAGAAGCTGGGGGAGAAGCTGGGGGAGAAGCTGGGGGAGAAGCTGGGGGAGAAGCTGAGGGAGAAGCTGGGGGAGAAGCTGGGGGAGAAGCTGAGGGAGAAGCTGAGGGAGAAGCTGAGGGAGAAGCTGAGGGAGAAGCTGAGGGAGAAGCTGAGGGAGAAGCTGGGGGAGAAGCTGGGGGAGAAGCTGGGGGAGAAGCTGGGGGAGAAGCTGGGGGAGAAGCTGAGGGAGAAGCTGAGGGAGAAGCTGAGGGAGAAGCTGGGGGAGAAGCGGTGAACTGGTCAGTCACAGGCCGTCAGAGGGAAGCAGGCGCTCTGTCAGCGAGGTTTAGCGCAGGAAGACGCCGCATCGTTTCCTTCCATGCTGTGGCTGCAAACATCCCCATGTGTTTCTGCTCGTCTGCTGCATGTGGAGCTCAGCGACTCTCCGATTCCTCTCAGCACTGCAGATAGACAGGTTTCTAATAGAGCTGCAAAAAACATAGTTATGATTGAAAGAAAAATAATTTTGTCCCTTTTTTGCTAATTATTCATGTAATTTTCTGGAACACATTAACTTTGCAGTTGGCTGCACAGAGCAAACATGAATAACTTGTCACATAGTGAGGAACTTGTAAGCAGCTTTTCTCGCTGTTTTATGGTGTTTGTAGCGGGAGCCATGATCAGAACCGCCGTTTATCAGCTTCAGCCCAAACAGAAAAAGCAGATACAGGATTCAATTAGAAAGCTCTTCATTTTTTAAAAACCACAACTTATCAAAATGTGCATGAATTTCTCAGACTGCTTCGTGTGTTAAACAGAGACTCAGCGTTTTAGAAACGTTTTAACTGGGACTAAATAAAACTCAAAAGTCTTCTCTACACCAAATGAGAGAAATGTACTAAAGTGAGGGAACGCTGTTATTCCCTCACCAGAAACATGCAAAGTGTTGCTTTGATTGACAAAACCCCTCCCCCACTCCACTCCTCCAGACTAGCGGCAGCAACAGTCAGCAAACACCTGGTGGAATGATTACTATTATAAATCATGAGCTGCTCGTCACTGAAACAACCTAAGGACTGTTGATAACGGCATAATGGAGGAACATTGTTGTAAAAGAACGGGAGTTTCTTAAAGAGACGGAACGCATATTTAATATATAAAGCATTTTGATGTCAAGTAACAGTCACTTGATTGTTCTGTAAAATGTCACATGGAAAACACAAAACTGGCCCTTTAACATGATCATTTTTAAATTAGCCCTTTTTTTATATATTTATTTTGTAGCATCTTGTCCCTCGTGGGGTCGGGAGTTGCTGGTTCCTCTCCAGCTCATGTTCCGAGTGAGAGGCGGGTCACCCTGGAGGGGTCACCCTGTAGGGGTCACCCTGGGCGGGTCACCCTGGAGGGGTCACCCTGTAGGGGTCACCCTGGGCGGGTCACCCTGGAGGGGTCACCCTGGGCGGGTCACCCTGGAGGGGTCACCCTGTAGGGGTCACCCTGGGCGGGTCACCCTGGAGGGGTCACCCTGGGCGGGTCACCCTGGAGGGGTCACCCTGCAGGGGTCACCCTGTGGGTCACCCTGGGTGGGTCACCCTGCAGGGGTCACCCTGGAGGGGTCACCCTGGAGGGTCACCCTGCGGGGTCACCCTGGAGGGGTCACCCTGGAGGGGTCACCCTGGAGGGGTCACCCTGGGCGGGTCCACCCTGGGCGGGTCACCCTGGGGGGTCACCCTGGTGGGTCACCCTGCAGGGGTCACCCTGGAGGGGTCACCCTGGGCGGGTCACCCTGCAGGGTCACCCTGGGCGGGTCACCCTGGGTGGGTCACCCTGGAGGGGTCACCCTGGGTGGGTCACCTGGGGGGTCACCCTGCAGGGGTCACCCTGGGCGGGTCACCCTGGGGGGTCCCCTGCAGGGGTCACCCTGGAGGGTCACCCTGTAGGGGTCACCCTGGGCGGTCACCCTGGGCGGGTCACCCTGGGGGGTCACCCTGGGTGGGTCACCCTGGAGGGGTCACCCTGCAGGGGTCACCCTGGCGGGGTCACCCTGGTGGGTCACCCTGCAGGGGTCACCCTGGAGGGGTCACCCTGCAGGGGTCACCCTGGGCGGGTCACCCTGGGTGGGTCACCCTGGAGGGGTCACCCTGGAGGGGTCACACTGGGCGGTCACCCTGGGCGGGTCACCCTGGAGGGGTCACCCTGGGTGGGTCACCCTGAGGGGTCACCCTGGAGGGGTCACCCTGGGCGGGTCACCCTGCAGGGGTCACCCTGGGCGGGTCACCCTGGAGGGGTCACCCTGGGTGGGTCACCCTGCAGGGGTCACCCTGGAGGGGTCACCCTGGGGGGGTCACCCTGCAGGGGTCACCCTGGGCGGGTCACCCTGGGTGGGTCACCCTGGAGGGGTCACCCTGGGCGGGTCACCCTGGAGGGGTCACCCTGCAGGGGTCACCCTGGGCGGGTCACCCTGGGTGGGTCACCCTGCAGGGGTCACCCTGGAGGGGTCACCCTGGGGGGTCACCCTGGGGGGTCACCCTGGAGGGGTCACCCTGGGTGGGTCACCCTGGAGGGGTCACCCTGGAGGGGTCACCCTGGAGGGGTCACCCTGGGTGGGTCACCCTGGAGGGGTCACCCTGGAGGGGTCACCCTGGGTGGGTCACCCTGGAGGGGTCACCCTGGAGGGGTCACCCTGGAGGGGTCACCCTGGGCGGGTCACCCTGGGCGGGTCACCCTGGGTGGGTCACCCTGGGCGGGTCACCCTGGAGGGGTCACCCTGCAGGGTTCACCCTGGGCGGGTCACCCTGGGTGGGTCACCCTGCAGGGGTCACCCTGGAGGGGTCACCCTGGGCGGGTCACCCTGGAGGGGTCACCCTGGAGGGGTCACCCTGGTGGGTCACCCTGCAGGGGTCACCCTGGAGGGGTCACCCTGGGTGGGTCACCCTGCAGGGGTCACCCTGGAGGGGTCACCCTGGAGGGGTCACCCTGGGCGGGTCACCCTGGAGGGGTCACCCTGGAGGGGTCACCCTGCAGGGGTCACCCTGGAGGGGTCACCCTGGCGGGTCACCCTGCAGGGGTCCCTGGACGGGTCTCCAGTCCGTTGCTGTACATTTCACACTTGCTGTATTTAAACAAATGTAATGGATGGGTGACTAATAACACCATAATAACAATAAATTATAATTATAATGCAAACTAAAGAAAAATTTAGTGTTTGTAACTTTTTAGGATATTTTCTGTGGCAAATTTAAATCTTCTTAAAATGTTAAAAATGTTGGATGGCCAAATTTGTGCCGTTCTTGAATTGCCACACAAAATGAATCCAAAGGCCACTAAAGGCCCCCGGGCCTCACTTTGGACACCCAAACGTCTGATCTTTTGCTAACAGCTAAAATGTTTGTACAATGTTGGTGCAGAATGAGTATTTTTGTCATCCAGGGCTGAAGACACAGCAGCTAATGTGTAAATGAGGCTCTGCTTGGAGAATCAAACGCTGACAGACAGAAAAAAGCAGATTTGATGAGCGTTGAGCTTCACTTGAACCTGGAATGATCTGGTTCCCCAGGCTCCTACTTTCCTGCTAAATCTACCTTAAACTGAGTAGATCAGCTAAATCCTTAACCTGAGCCCGTCTTCTGTCTCCCTGCAGAGAAAATCCAGAAAGCAGAAAAGAGGAAGCAGAATGGAGTGAAGAACAAGAGGAAAGAGAGAAGGAAGCATGGCACCGGCAAGAAGAAGGAGAGGTGGAAGTCTGAGAGTGGCTCCCTGCTGAGAGAGCTAGGTGCGGCGAGTGGGTGGATTTACTCTGCCTTGCTTTTACTACTTTATTATTTCTGCTTGATTAAAATATTTCGACATATTTTAAAGCTGTGGAGCAAAAACTGTCCGAGCCGAGTGACTTCAGAATAACTTCAGCTGCTTTCCAGAGAGTGAGTGGAAATAAGACGATGGTCCAACTGTGACGCAGTGAAAATGTTCAGTTCATTTGTCATAAATTTACATCAAACCCAAATGAGTTTGATTGTTTCTGACAGGAGCATCAATTAAAAACCATGAGATTTTGACCTGATTCACACCAGACCCGCTGTGACCCGCTTCGGGTAGAACCGGGTCGACCCGACTAAAGGAGGAAAATCATCTTTAATTATCATAAATACTATAAATTCAGATCTGCACTAAATGTTAAATCCTAACTGCAAAACTCTGCTTGGTTTTATGCATCGAGTCGCAGAAAACCAAGCAGTTTATATTTAAAATCTCCTTAAATATATTTATTGCCACACTTTATATATTTTCTTGACCAAGGTTTACTTACACACACACCACACACACTTCCTTTAATGCAAGGCTCCAAACGTTACAGTAGAACATGATTACAACAGATTGATGAGCCAGAGGAATTGATCAGCAGGTGTATCAGATCACCTGAATGAGATGATTAATGATGGAACGTCTGCAGGTTTTATAACTCATCTGTTCGAGTTCTTGACTCTTTCCTCACCGGTCCGGTTTTTAGACAAAACTTTACACGATACTGAAACTCGATGCTGAGAGAGAAACTAAAGGTCAAGGTGCAAAATATGAACCAAAGCTGGATTTAAAATGTTGTGCAGGATGTTTGTCGTCGGCGCTGCTGGTGGTAGAAAACGTCTGGATGAAACGCAGTCAGTCTGTCTCCTCTGCAGCAGAGCGTTTGTTTCCGTCAGTAAAACTCCATCTGCTTTTGCTTCATCTCCATTTCTACTCGTCCCTGTTTGTCTCCCGTATCTGTCCATCTGGCTCTGGTATGAAACCCATCTTTCTGTTTATCTTGCTTCTTTTTCTTCACCTGACCGCAAAGGGGAGAAGAACTGCAACTTGACACGCCATGCATGCTGGGATACCATCACAAAAAATTGCGTTTCCATGACAAATAAGCCGGAGTTTGTGTTTGGTTTGCTGCTGTGTTTTTAGCAGCGTCGTTTTACGAGTCCGACTCGCCGTCCATTATTATCAGTGTTATATATAGTGAGCTGCTGTCAGTGTGTGTGTGTGTGTGTGTGTGTGTGTGTGTGTGTCTGTAGGTGTGTGGTGTGTGTGTGTAGGTGTGTGTGTGTAGGTGTGTCTGTAGGTGTGTGTGTGTGTGTGTCTGTAGGTGTGTGTGTGTGTAGGTGTGTGTGTGTGTGTGTAGGTGTGTGTGTGTGTGTGTGTGTAGGTGTGTGTGTGTGTGTGTGTGTGTGTGTGTGTGTGTGTTTGGTGTGTGTGTGTGTGTGTGTGTGTGTGTGTGTGTGTGTTGTGGGTGTGTGTAGGTGTGTGTGTGTGTGTGTGTGTAGGTGTGTGTGTTTAGGTGTGTGTGTGTGTGTTAGGTGTGTGTGTGTAGGTGTGTGTGTGTTAGGTGTGTGTGTGTGTGTGTGTAGGTGTGTGTGTGTGTGTGTGTGTGTGTTTAGGTGTGTGTGGTGTGTGTGTGTGTGTGTGTGTGTGTGTGTGTGTGTTAGGTGTTTGTGTGTGTGTGTGTGTGTGTGTGTGTGTGTGTGTGTGTGTGTGTGGTGTGTGTGTGTGTGTGTGTGTGTGTGTAGGTGTGTGTGTGTGTTTAGGTGTGTGTGTGTGTGTAGGTGTGTGTGTGTAGGTGTGTGTGTGTGTTTAGGTGTGTGTGTGTGTGTGTGTAGGTGTGTGTGTCTGTGTGTGTGTGTGTGTTTAGGTGTGTGTGTGTGTGTGTGTGTGTGTGTGTGTGTGTGTGTGTAGGTGTGTGTGTGTGTGTGTGTGTGTGTAGGTGTGTGTGTGTGTTTAGGTGTGTGTGTGTGTGTAGGTGTGTGTGTGTAGGTGTGTGTGTGTGTTTAGGTGTGTGTGTGTGTGTGTGTGTAGGTGTGTGTGTCTGTGTGTGTGTGTGTTTAGGTGTGTGTGTGTGTGTGTGTGTGTGTGTGTGTGTGTGTGTGTGTGTGTTAGCTAAACTCTAACCACCTCCTGCTGTCAGATTATTACAGACGTTTTCTCTCCTCTGGTGTTTGTGGTATTTCGGAGACGCTGCAGGTTTACAGCGAGAACTTTAGATAAAAAGGAAAACAACAAGAAAACTATTAAATGCAGCCGAGCAACTGATCCTGACACGAGTATCATTTTGGGTCCTCTGCTCTTTGACGTGTATTTTATAAGTTTTAATGGCTGGTTCCATTTCTAGCACTAATATTTAAGAACTAATAATTGCTAACGATGAGTGAGGAGAAGCCACTTCTGTATCTCTGTTTGTCTCCTTCAGGTTTGCTGAAGTCGTTTCCGTTAGAGAGCTCTCTGTTCGACAGCTGGCTGGCCAAGTCGGTGCAGATCACCGCCGACGACATGCTGAGCCAGTGGGCTCTGGGCGCCCAGCACCGCGACCGCAGCAGCAGCCTGCTGTCCGACCAGGTGGGGACGCGTCACGGCTTCTTGTGGTGATGAACGGGACGGAGATCATCTCTGCAGTTTATAAAAAACATCTTCATAGAATGTGGTGTTACCAATTTATTTTGTAATCTTTACAATTTGTTGAGCATGAAATCATCAATAATTAATTATTGGTAAATCTGTGTGTAGGTGTGTGTAGGAAGTATCATAAAAAACTCAAAAAGTTCAATGATCAGAAAACAAAATTGGTTGGAATTATTGATGAATGAAGTCGATATATACATGATGAGTATAGGTGGTGCTGGATATATGAATTTCATTAGAGGTTTAGATTTGGGCTGAAACTTTTTCATCAATATTATGACAACAAGATTATATTTCTTGATTAGAAGTTATTTCTAAGTTAGTTTTGTCTTATTCCAAGTGAATTTTATTTACTAGACACTAAACAAAAATTACTTGATGAGATTTTTCACTGTTTGCTGGAAACTTTCAGACCTGGCAACCCGGCTGACAACGAGGAGATCCTGTAATATTTCTGGAGTCGATGAGTTGCAGCAATTTCCCTCTTGATCAACTTTAAATATGGTTCTGCTGACCCGTTTCCTCCTCTTCCTCATCCTCTTCCTCTCCCCCTCCTCCTCCCCTCTTCCTGCTCTTCTCCTCCTCCTCTTCCTCCTCCTCTCTTCCTCCTCCTCCTCTTCCTCCTCTCTTCCTCCTCCTCTCCTCCCTCCTCCTCTTCCTCCTCCTCCTCTTCCTCCTCCTCTTCCTCCTCCTCCCTTCTCCTCCTCCTCTTCCTCCTCCTCTCCTCCTCCTCTTCCTCCTCCTCCTCTTCCTCCTCCTCCTCTTCCTCCTCCTCATCTTCCTCCTCTTCTCTCCTCCTCTTCCTCCTCCTCTTCCTCCTCTTCTCTTCCTCCTCCTCTTCCTCTCCTCCTCTTCCTCTCCTCTTCCTCTCCTCTTCCTCCTCTTCCTCCTCCTCTTCTCTTCCTCTCCTCTTCCTCTCCTCCTCTTCCTCCTCCTCTTCCTCTCCTCCTCCTCCTCTTCTTCCTCCTCCTCTTCTCCTCCTCTTCCTCCTACTCCTCTTCTCTTCCTCCTCCTCTTCCTCTCCTCCTCCTTCTCCTCTTCCTGCTCCTCTTCCTCATCCTCCTTCCTCTCCTCTTCCTCCTCCTCCTCCTCTTCCTCCTCCTCTTCCTCTCCTCTTCCTCTCCTCCTCCTCCTCTTTCTCCTCCTCCTCCTCTTCCTGCTCCTCTTCCTCTCTTCTCCTCCTCCTCTTCCTCCTCCTCTTCCTCTCCTCTTCTTCCTCCTCCTCTTCCTCCTCCTCCTCTTCTCTTCCTCCTCCTCTTCCTCCTCCTCTTCCTCCTCTTCCTCTTCTCTTCCTCCTCCTCTCCTCCTCCTCCCTTCTTCCTCCTCCTCTTCTTCCTCCTCCTCTTCCTCCTCTTCCTCCTCCTCTTCCTCCTCCTCCCCTTCCTCCTCCTCTTCCTGCTCCTCCTCCTCCTCCTCTCCTCCTCCTCCTCTTCTCTTCCTCCTCCTCTTCCTGCTCCTCTTCCTCTCCTCCTCCTCCTCCTCCCCTTCCTCTTCCTCCTCCTCTTCCTCTCCTCTTCCTCCTCCTCTCTTCCTCTTCTCTTCCTCCTCCTCTCCTTCCTCTTCTTCCTCCTCCTCTTCCTCCTCCTCCTCTTCCTCCTCTTCCTCTTCCTCCTCCTCCTCTTCCTCCTCCTCTTCCTCCTCCTCCTCCTCTTCTCTTCCTCCTCCTCCTCTTCCTCCTCCTACTCTTCCTCCTCCTCTTCCTCCTCCTCCTCCCCTTCCTCCTCCCTTCCTCCTCCTCTTCCTCCTCCTCTTCCTCCTCCTACTTCCTCCTCTTCCTCCTCCTCTTTCTCTTCCTCTCCTCCTCTTCCTCTCCTCTCCTCCTCCTCTCCTCCTCCTCTTCCTCCTCCTACTCTTCCTCCTCTTCCTCTCCTCTCTTCCTCCTCCTCCTCCTCTTCCTCTTCTCCTCTTCCTCCTCCTCCTCCTCTTCCTCTTCCTCCTCTTCCTCTTCCTCCCCTTCCTCCTCCCCTTCCTCCTCTTCCTCCTCCTCCTCCTCCTCTTCTCCTCTTCCTCCTCCTACTCTTCCTCCTCCTCCTCCTCCCCTTCCTCCTCCTTCCTCCTCCCTTCCTCCTCCTCTCTCCTCCTCCTCCTCCTCCTCTTCCTCCTCCTCTTCCTCCTACTCTTCCTCCTCCTCCCCTTCCTCTTCCTCCTCCTCTTCCTCCTCCTACTCTTCCTCCTCCTCTTCCTCCTCCTCCCTTCCTCCTCCTCTCCTCCTCTTCCTCCTCCTCTTCCTCCTCCCCTTCCTCCTCCTCCTCCTCCTCCTCCAGCTCCTGCAGGGTGAGGAAAGCCTCCTGAACCTCATGATGGAGAACTCTATGCAGTCGGCGTGGAAAACGCCTCAGCTGGGCCGGAAACCCAGAGGAAGCAGCAAGCCTCGTTCTCGAAGGCCGAGCGGCGCCAGCGCCCAGCGGGTGTTCGGATCGGTCGCGTCCGGCGGCCCGTCCGCAGCCAAGGGCTTCTGGGAAAAATCCGGCCGCCGAGGGGAGAAGTCCAGAAGCTCGTCCAAGGCGGGTCGCCACCAACAGACCAGGAGCTGCGACCCGAACGGCGACCCGCAGCCGCCCATCTCCAAGATGGATTCCTGCCACATCTCGGAGGAGCGCGGCCGCTGGGACAGCGTCCACATGGCGACCGGTTTCACGGCGAGCGCTTCCCCTTTGCCGGCCTCCGGCCCGGGAGCCGCGGCGCCTGACGCCGGGGTCGTCCTGCGGGGGTCGCGGCCCCGCCCGACCCGGCAGGGTAAAGCGAGGTCGAGGGTCGAGGAACTGGACTCCACGGACCTGCCGTTCACAGGGAAAGGCGCGTCGCTGCTGGATGCCGCCGCCGAGACTGATGGGTACTTCTCCGACGGAGAGAGCGATTTGGAAACGCGGTCCGGAGGACGAAAGCTTCGGCTGCCACAGCTGCATCCTGCCAGCGAGGATCTGCTGAGGAGGAGCGTCCTGGCGTCCTAAACAAAGTAACAGGGACAGAGCAGCCTTGTTAAAGCAAACCCGTGGTGTGGAGCAGCGCTGCAGCTCTGACTGCGCCTGGTTTCTGAATGTAGCTGTATGCCGACCGTACAGTAAAGCTTCCCCACTGGACTGCAGCTCTTACTATAGGAAACTAAACTTTGGTCTTTTGTATATTTCTAGCTCATGGGGTTGTGGCCTGGTGTCTGAGGTTTGCGTCAGACTTGGGAACAAACACTTCGGGGCATTACTCCTCTTCTTACTCACGCTGGTTCCAGGCTATGCTTTAAGGTCCGAGCTGCACCCAACGACTTTTCCTCAAACATTCAGACGATTTCATAGCAGAGCTGACATGAATGTGTGCAGAGCGCGGCACAGGACAGCATGTTGTCAGCCTTGAAAAGCACAAGATCCAGAGAGTGGAGTGTCATGGAGGCACTTTAAAACTAAAGCTGATTCAGGGCTGTGGTCGATTTCAGACGCTGATTTTCTCATGTTTCATCCCTTAAAAGCAGAAATTTACAGACTAAAGGTTGACCCCCAACCCGCCGCTGTGTCACATCTACACTCATCACAGTAGTACGATATAAATCAGGGGTGTCCAAAGTGCGGCCTGGGGGCCATTTGTGGCCCTTGGATTGATTTTGTGTGGCCCTGCCTGCAAGTATTAAATGTGGCCATTGAATACTTTTTGTTATTTTTATCATCTTAAACATCTTATGTTACTTGTTCAGCATGTTTTTAATCAAAAACAGACTTTGGTGGATTCACCCGTTTCATAAAGCAAAGATATGAAACAAAGTGTTTAGTTTTGTTACTGAGAATAAAGTAAAAACATTTCATATGTTTAGAAAATAGAAAATAATTCCAAAAAGTTAGATAACGTTTACTTTAATATTGTGCGAGGGTTTGGCCCCTCGGTGCAGAACCTTTGGACCCCCTGGTATCAGATCCAATCTTTCTCCATCGCTGTCAGATTTTTACCCCAAATATCCACAAGAATATCAGCAGAGAAATGTTGTGCCTTGCGTCACTTCCTGTGGCCTCCCCACAAAACAATCAGTGAGTGAATCAATCAGCCTCTCAATCCAAATTTGAAACAATCGAAGCGAAATAAAATCCCGACAGACTGGTTGCCACTGGGTGTCTTCACCATAATGATTGAATAGTGCCTAAACAAACATGCAGCGTTTGCCATTTTTGTAACCGATGCATCTGCAGCACTTTGCAAAGCAGAGCCACAGAGCTGCCGACTGTTACGAGTCGCCCCTGAACGCATCACGGCAGCAGAGCCTTTCAAAACAAGAGCTTGGCCAAGTTCCAGCTTTCAGGAGTCCATGTTTGATCTGCTGGGATAGAAACAGCTTTTCTCCTTCAGCTCTGAGCCCATCTCACTCTGGTGGTTTATAATTCAGCAAAGAAAATCTACATTATGTGAATCACAGTCTATAATTTCTGCAGCAGCCTTGAAAAGCAGCTCAAACTACTGATTTATATGAATATTTCAGTTCTGTTTGTGAGAAAAAGTTTGTAGTAATGTTAGAAAACAAAGAAATACTGAAGAAGCTTCAACATAGTCCTCACCCAAACGTTGAGATTTCTAAGCCTAGAAATATAGTTCAATCTAAAATACTAAAACTTTGTTAACCCAAAGGAAACCAAAACCAATTGGGAAGAGATAAATCCATCATTAGTGCAGACCAGCTCCAAAACTACCTGAAGCTTTTCTCACTTTAAACATTAAATCTACCTGAATTTAATGTAAGCAGAAACCTTTAATATCTACGTTCCTCTTTGTTTCCATTCCACCCAGGAAGTTGAGTGATGCGCCTGGATTGGTTGCTTTGTAAACGTCAGCCAATAGCGTGTCACAACAATTAATTTTGATGCTTTATTAAAACTATTTTTCAAACATTTCACTGATTCAGAAGGTAAATTACAGTGGATCCCAAACTATTCAGGGAGTTTTCTGCAAATTATTTGCAGGAACTTCATCGATGTGTAGAGAATAAAACAATGTTTAAGCTTCTGAAGCTACTTTTTATAAATGAGGATCATTTTTAAATTCCCATGTTTTTGGCTGCTATGAAAAATATCAGATCAATTGTTTCGTCCAGGTCGTTGTGTCTCTATGCATTTAGCCATGTTTGTGTATTTAGTGGATTATGACACCAGCGCGGCGTTCTGATCAAACCAGACTTGACCAAGCTTCTGCAGCAAACGGCTCTCCTGCAAAAACCCTAAACTATCACAGATAAAGCACGAACAAGCGTCCCGCACTCCTGACACACACCCACAAACCCAGCGCCGCCTCGTTTTGTTCCCAAACCCAGCGCCGCCTCGTTTTGTTCCCAAACCCAGCGCCGCCTCGTTTTGTTCCCAAACCCAGCGCCGCCTCGTTTTGTTCCCAAACCCAGCGCCGCCTCGTTTTGTTCCCAAACCCAGCGCCGCCTCGTTTTACTGCAGACTCACTCAGCTTACCCTACAGGTGTTTTCTACTCAAGAAGCTGTTTGTGGTATTCTCAGGGGTTAAAGAAAAACTTTTAAAAAGAATTAATACCAGACTTAAAAATAAAAGAACCATGTCTGTAAAGTTATATATAACACACACATATATCTGTGAAAGGTGAGGTGTGTTTAGAAAGTTTGCTTGGCTACAGTTTGATTTCCACTACTACTGAGCAAGTGTCTTCTGTAAGTGTGAGCTTCGGCCGGTTCAACGGCTCTGACTTCAGCGTCAGGATGAAGGCCGTCCTGATCAACACAAATCAATCAGATGGATTGATTGGAGCGCGCTGCTTGAGCCGGCCTGACACACAGCCTTGGAGCCGAGATCTGCCTGCTCTGTTTCAGTTCTCTGTATTTTCTGTAGACACATCCTGACTGGTGTTTAGGAACGACCAAAGATCAGATCTGTGTATGAAGGCAGCATACACACACACACACACACACACACACACACACAAACAAACACACACACACACACACACACACACACACACACACAAACACACACACACAAACACACACACAAACACCCAAACACACACACACCCACACACAAACACACACACACAAACACACACACACACAAACAAACACACACACACACACAAACAAACACACACCCACACATACAAACAAACACACACACACAAACAAACACACACACACACACAAAACAAACACACACACACACACACACACACACAAACAAACACACACACACAAACAAACACACACACACACACAAACAAACACACACACACACACACACACACAAACAAACAAACACACACCCACACATACAAACAAACACAAACACACACACACACACACACACACAAACAAACACACACACACACACATACCCACACACACAACAAACACAAACACACACACAAACAAACACACACAAATAAACACACACACATACCCACCCACACACACACACACTCTGGACTGCGGCGTACAGAGACTTTGGTGACGTGTTGGAGGATTTTGGTCTAACAGGGTCACACAGCAACAGATGAATAGTTTTCTATGGTTCTGACTTCCTCAGAGAGAAACGCAGAGTTTATGACAAGCGATGGCACTGTGTCCTTTTCGTCTTCAGGGGATTTACACGGCTGTTGTGAAAATGTATCTTTCCTCAGTGTGTGACTCGGCGCCGTGGCCTGGAGGAAGTTGGACTTTTGCTGCGTCTCGGACGCGGCGACGCGTCTGCAGTGACGACGCTCCTCCAGCCTCACGCGTCACTCAGACATATTAATGTAATCTTGGTTTCAGTATTCAGAGTAGCCTGATGTTATAGACAGTGGTTTTAGGTGAGGCCTGTGCGCCTCCACATGTAGTAGCAGATGCTGAGGCTGCACAGCATGCGGCACAAATCAAAGCTGAAATCAATCAGCACATATTTTAACCCCTTGCTGTTCAGCCTCAGCAGCCAAACCTGGTTTGTTATTCTGTATTTACATTGTGGCTTCAACGCCTCTCCTTCCGCTTCATAGATGCTGTAGACTGGATTCTTTATTATTTTTCACTAGCATTCATGTGTGGTATGCTGGTGCGGCCGCTGGCTGAGGTCTTTCAGTTTTGCAACTCTGACAGCAGAAATGCACCTTTTCTACGTCTGTGGGTTATTGCTGTGAAATGTTGGTGCATTAGAACAAGAATCAGTAAAGCAAACAAGAATTTGGGATAAATCCACATTAAAATGTGCCTGTCGCTTTAAATTAGAGTCAGTTTATCACAACAGCTGACTCAGTATTATAGTCGCTGTTGTATTTTGCAATTTCAATATTTGACACATTTATAAAGCAAAGATTTGATTTATGGGGTGAAATAAGAGTAAAAAAAGAATAGAGCTGCAACTGATGCTTATTTTAATAATTATCAATTTGGCACATTAGAAATGCATTAATAAGCAATTCAATTCCTTTTTATTCAATAATCAATAAACATCTAGAGGATGTTTCTTTAGAGGAACATCTTTACTCCAGTAAATCTGAACCGTTTTGATCGGAAATGCTCAATTTTTATATTTATTTTACAGTTTTGTCTTAATTACAGCTCTGACTGTTAACTGAGGGAACAAGTAATGATGACTGAATGAGTTTATTTCAATAATTGATGAATCTTTTCAGCCCTTATTTTTGGCCAAATTTCTCCCTCAAATACTGAAATAAAATAAAGTTCTGGCTCTGACCCACATGACAGCAGGTCAGAAAGCAACATGGACGCTGAAGCGTCTCTGGGGAAACGATGGACTTAAAGGCCTGTTGCTGTTCCTGCTGTTCATTAACATGTTGCAAACTCAAGAAGAGACGTCTGTCCAAGAGACGTCTGTCCAAGAGACGTCTGTCCACCGGTTGCTTTTCTTCCAAACCTGAGAGAAATAACTGCACCATGTGACCCACCTGCATACCACTGGACTCTTAACAATATTCACAGTTACAATAATGTATTATACTGTTCAATTAATAGCTACATTTTCATACTCAGTGTTTTTGAAAAGCCTTT